CACTGAGGACCCCAGGCTGTATGACAAAACACAGAAGTTATAATTGTATAATCTACACCGTGGCTGAACGTGTGCGTGGGGCATGTATGACTTGCCAAAGACAGGCAAGTAGATGAAAAAAGTGACCGTATGAGAAGGCTCATGATCTGAGACTCTGAGTATCCAGGGAGATGTCACAGAAATGTCCAATGTGGGTCAACTGGAATATTTATTGGTTATTGTAAACCACTTAACTAATTAGGTGGAAGCTTCCCCTCTCCCGGTGATACAGCTAACCATATAATGAAGATGCTCCTAGAACCCAGAGGAAATACCATGTTAGACAACAGAAGCTGTTGTATTGCCACGAGATATTACACCTGGTTTGACGTTGATTGGGACTGTCATACACCTTGGCACCCTTTTCCTCCGGTAAAGTTGAAAGAATGAATCAGATCCTTAAATGACAAGTTACCAAGTTAATTTTAGAGTCTCATTGCCTTGGGCTGAGAGCTTACCTATAGCTTTTGCTTAGAATCCACGCATCCCTCAGGAGGACCTCAGACCGTCCCTTAGGCTGTATACATTGCTGTTCCTGGAACTAAAAATCACTTTCTCAGAAACAGTGTGTCGAGCCTCTTCTCCGCTTTGCTTCTCTTAGGTGACAAGGCCTTCCTTCCTACGCTGAACCCACCACTCAAATGTCCAGGCTGTCCTTTCCAGTTTGGGGACTGAACGACGATAAAAAATCTAGAAAGAGAACTGATTGGAACTGGCCTGGGGGTGGGAGGGGTCCTCTCAGGTGACGTCAGCCAGGGAAACAGCGGTCTGGATTGGCTGAGGGAAGATGGACATACTACCCCTGAGCAAAGAAAGCTGGAGAGATTTCCATTGCTGGTCCTATAGAATGCCACCACAGTTAATTAAAACCTCAGAATTAGCCGGGCGTTGGTGGCGCACGCCTTTAATCCCAGCACTCGGGAGGCAGAGCCAGGCGGATCTCTGTGAGTTCGAGGCCAGCCTGGGCT